ATTGAATGTGAGGCTTAACTTCGCTCTTTTATATGAGATGGCAGAGGTTCAGGTAAACATGTCTATTCATATGCAAATTTAGACCTCTTCAATCCTGATGCACCATGAACAGAGAGGATTCCTGCATGATTCTTATATCTGTGGCAAGCTATGTGGGCAAAATACACCTTTTACTAGGCACAGGACTATTCTGGGATTAATTACACATGATACAAACTGGAAGGTGCCCTACACAACTACCAGACTTAAGCTGATACAAAGCTTGAGGTGTATCTAAGCTTGAAACTGCCTTGAAAAGAAGGGACTGCTGGCCCTACCCAGAGCCCCATCACCTTCAGTGAGGTCTTAGAGACGTGTCTGCTCCTGGAGCTGGGATTTCAGGATTAGGGAAGGTATCCAAGATATCCAGTGGTTGTAATTTTAAGTATGTAGAGATTCCTATTAGGCTAGTGAGTGTCCATGACTGAGAAAATCAGTGTGGAATATCAGTGTACCACAGTGAGGGAAATTTTTCAAGATAGAACGGCACTTCCGTGGCAGTTCCTTTTGCTAATATTTACATGGTTATTTTAACTCCCCATGAATCCTATCCTTTTGGGCTTTACTGATGAATGACATGAACCAATGTGTGACGGATGGTACTTCTCCCTAGTTTTCCTATTTTATCATCAGCTGTGAAAAACAATACTGGAACTAATAATACTTCCAGCCCCGCAATTCCCCTGAAACAATGTGAACCTCATAATCTCTTTCAACCCACCACCAGGAGATAAAAAGCCTGTATTTATTTAGAAGGGTCAGTGTCCTCATCTAGCTGGAATGTTATCTTTTCTAAATTTGCTAAATCAGGCTAGTAGACTAGTTAGAAACATTCAAGTTATTTCAACTATAAATTAAAAGAATCAGCAAGATTTTTATCAGCAACTGAAAACTAAACCACAATAAACCAAAAACTGCCTAACTGTGAGTCTGATCCTACCAGCTCTTTGAGGTTGGAACCACTGCATTGGGCCTCTATTGAAAAGTTCATTAAAACACTACAGGAACACAAGGGGTTCACAGGCTTGGGTCATATGAGCAGCTTGTAACAGGCATATGCATTCTCTATGCTCTGTGCTATAGTTCTGGCATAGACAAGAGAAATATGTAAAGCCCTATTATTAACAGCCCTGGCTATGTAAATGAGAGAACAACTTTAAATTTTATGAATTGCATTTTCTTGTTAAGATGTTAGACTCCTATTAAGATGGTAAAATGTCTTCTGCAAGATCACCCATGCCATTTCCTGTAGCACCTATGTTTTCTTAGGAAACATAGCTTTTCTCCATCCTGCTCACACCTTTTTCAAATCTACATGAGAGACTAAAGTGATGAAACCGCAAACATGAATAATGAAAATGAACTAGACAGTGAAAAATAGAATGTGGCTGGCAAAATATAAAACTTGTCCACAGGTCTGTAACCTAAACGTACTACAGTTTCTCTCTTAAGCCATCTAGCTTCTCATTAATCAGTATTTACTGGGCGCATAAGTTCCAACCACAGGCTTTCAGTAGGCTTTTCAGTTTGCTCAGTTATTAATGAACAATGTCTATTTTGGGTTATGAAGGCCTTCCTTTGTTCTATAATGATCTTCTTCTGGAGAGATAACATGACTTGTAACAGCACCCTTCTAAACTCTTAAGACAAGCAGTAATGGACAGACCCTGACCCTGAAGCTAAAGGAAGTCCCTTGGGAGCAGAACTGGTCCTGTTTCACGCCTCACACTCCCTTGGTCAGTGCATTTCCTGTGCAGGCAGGTCTGGCTATGAGACCTGCCTGCACAGGCAGGTCTCTGAGATCTGGCTGAGGTCTTTGAGATCTGGCCAGAACTACTGGGCTGTAGATTCTCCAACGCTCTGCCTTAGGGCAGGGCAAATAACAAGTTCTAGTGTTTATTTCAGTTGCAACTTTACTTCAGATCTTTTTGTGCCAGCCCTCAGTCAGGTAATCGTTCAGTGAACTTAGGTACTGGAAACTATCTATCTATCTCATCCGTTCTGCTTCCCCAAGAGTCACTTAGTGCTGATGGAGATCATGCTCTCTTGCTTGCTTTGAGATTGCTTGCAGTACCAAAGCAAACTCATTTATAGCTAGCTTGGGTATCTCTCTGCTAAACTGTAGTTTCAGTTCAGTCATTCAACTATCATTCATTTACCTCTCTAGATGCAAGTATTCAGAGTAAAGGAAGTAGATGGCATTAAAGTGGCACTGCAAACCTGGCAGACTCTTTCTGACCAGTAACTGTTACCTGTCTGATTGAAACAAAGCAACACCTTTGCCAAGAGCGCTTCTGCTGGTGGCCTTTCAGAAATATTTTATCATTAAGCATGAAGTAATACAGTATTTCAATAAAACTTAAATATGTGACAAGTGATAGAAGAAGGGAGCTTTGAATCTGTCCAGATCCAGTGGAGCCCACTTCTCTAGTGGGCAGCTAGTTCCTTCCCTGCTCTCCTCGGTGAATCAAATAATGACCTAGACCATTCTTCCTCACTACCCATACCTCCTCGAGCCTCTCAGCTTCTCCATTGTCTTCCTGAGAAGTCTCCCGCTGTCCCTTGGAAAGTCTTTTTCCCCCTGAGAGGAGTCGGGGTAGCAAATACAGAGCTGACATGAGGGGTTTTCCCAAAGACAGGACATGAACTGTACTGTGTTATGGACACTTTCAGAGATTTGCTATCCTCATTCAATCTACTTCACTAGTCCTCATCTAGAGGTTAAAGATTACTCCACAGAGGCTTTATTTTCTTCTTCAAAACCTATCTCCATCTTCCACATTATTTATGCACTGTTTTGAAATTGTTGATAGATGTCATGCCTTCTTTCTGAAAATATCCAAATATTATTTGAACATATATTCCTTGTGTTTCTAGAAAGAGAGAAAGGGCTGTCATAGCTGCCCAGGACTCACAAATACCACTGTAGATCTAACTAGCAGTGAACTAACAAAACATAAGTTACTGTACAACCCTTCTCATGAAAGGAATGACATATGACAAATGGTAAACCAGAGGTAAAAGTAGTATAGAAAACATAGCTTGATTCTGAATTATATTTAACTATTCAGATAAACTAGTCTCCTTTCTTATTTTTCTTTTTTAGTATTGCCTTTTAGCCCTTGTAAAAGCTGGAAGACAGATGGGATTTTTTATCCACAAAAGCTTCACACACTTTGAGATTTTAAAAACGATTAATGTGTGATCATGGGTAGTCTGAGATTGTTGGGAGTATATTCTGTCTTATATAATTTCACTGGCTACAGGGATTTTACAGGTAGGGAAGAAACGTAGTTCACTACCTTCAGCAAAGGTCTGAAACTACCTGCAAGGGATGATGAGATTTCAGAAAGAATGATAGTTAAGCATATTCCAGCAGTTGTAGAAGACTGACTTCTTACTATGTAAGGTTCATGCATTAAAATTAATTAGGTGAGTAAATGTTGCTGATTGCTTTTAAAATCTAGATTCTTTTTCCTGGAATTTATTCCCTAGAATAAGTTTACTTGAAAGCCACTCCTCTAAAGTAGAGAGAGTTGTAATTGGAATTCTACCTTGATATTATCTGCCATATTTCTTCGAGGATCTATTGTTTGTGATGTTGATATACTCAGTTGCTACAGAGACAGAGCAAAATGACTTTATTGAATTTTAAAAAGATTTGTTCCTTGCCTATCTTTACTTTTGGACTTTCAGCTTAATCCATTTCTTTTGACTCATCTGTCATTCAGTGAACATGAATTCAGCAAAATTTCAGTGGAGATGAGGTCTGTTACATGAACCTGAAAAGCTGAACATACAACAAAAAGGAAGAGAAAGTATAAGCAACTACTGCCCAAATAATGGGATGGCAGTATCACAGACTTGACACAAACAGAATGTGGGAGGGAAGAAGAAACCTAAGCCATATTCCTTCCACCAGAGTTAGATGTCAAACATAGAAGGGAAGTCCTCTTAATCTCTGAATTGCCCAGTTATGAAAAACATTCCTCCTGAGGTAAATTCAGGTACGTTCCTGCTCTGAACTGGCCTCTGAAGAAGCTGTTCTTCCAACCACAAAGCCTATGGAGACCTGCCTCAGCTTAGTCAACTGCAGTATCTGAAGCTAAACACAAAGAATATCCCCACAGATACTACGTGCTGGTGTTCTGCTACAACATCAAAGGATAATGTGAAAAATCACATTTGACTGGCCTTAGGAAAGAGCATCTATTTTGTTGGGCCTGCATTTTTAGATAGTGTGCGTCAGTTGACATCCACGCGCACATCCACATCTTAAGTAATGACTCCACTTTGCATATTCCTTTGAAAGAAAATATTGTTACAGAAAAACAGTGACCAATTTCTCAGGAAATGGTGCTTTGGGGTGAATGAGTTTTAAGCGGCTTTGAAGAATAAGAGTGTAGCACCTGCTGTGGGTTCTGCACCATAATAGATTCCATCTGACGGCCAGTCTCTTTGCTCTCTAAAAACACATTCTGGGCTTCTAGCACACAAGTCTGGCCCAATACTCCCTCCCAATGGGCTGTGCTTTACCTAAGAAATGATCTTCCTAATGTTTTGGGAAAATTCTGCTCTAATCCACATCTATGAATCCATTTGACCCTTAGACAATAAATCACTTGTGTTTCTTTCATTATGGACAGCGTCATATAAATATGAATAAAATACAACATCACTTGTTCACATTCACAACATCATGTTTCAGCATTAGTCATTTTCTTCCTAGCTGTCACTCACATTTTTCTTTCGGTTTTTAAATACTTCTTATGAAATTGCTGCCTGTTACGGAACATGAAGCAAATGAACTCATTAAAGAGATCTAACTTCAAATGCAGCATAGCTTTAAGTAGCAAAGAAGTTGTTTGTTCGCCCCGGCCACGCTCTCTTGCCCCCCC